CCGCTCACCTGTGAAGACTGTGAGCTCCCCTTTGCGGTGGCCCTTGAGAAGTTTGTTGAGGTCAGGGAAACGAGTCCACCTGACACCAGCCACCTGCTCCACATTGGCCAGCTCACCGAAGACCTCATCCCGCAGCTGGCGGAAGGAGACGATGGACTTGTGGCTAGCCGGCAGAGCCGAGTGCAGCACCTTGGTCAGGTTGATTCCCTGGTTGAGCGCCTCCAGTGGCCCTGGCTGCTGGTCACCAGGCCGCACCAGGGAACAGCGCTTGGGGTTCAGCTTGCGGGCAAAGAGCTTGGCAGCCTCCCAGGAGCGTAGGTCCTCACCCAGCCACAGTGTGATGCGCTTGAACTGCTCCAGATAGGGCAGTAGGGCTGGAGGCAAGCAAGTGGGGCCGCGGGGCAGCGCCAGGCTGGGCAGTCCTGTGGCTTGGGTCACAGCCAGGGCATCCAACTCGCGGCCTGTCAGCACCACCTCAATATCACGGCGGCCGATGAGCGGCAGCCCGAATAGGTTGCGGTAAGCATTGGGGCGGGGTAGTGTGGTCTCCACATATTGCGTGGCCTCCCCCCAGCCTTCCGCTGCCAGCAGCTTGAGTCCCAGAAGCCCCTGGGGGCCGAACCAGGGGAAGACAAGGGCGCGGGCCGGTGGCAGGTAGCGCACACCAAAGCGCTTCAGGGTGGCGTCCGACACCTGTGAACACAAGCACGGTCATTTCCTGGGTCAGTACATAGGTCCGTCTTGTCCGGTCTCAGCTCCACCAGGACCCAGGACCTCCCAGTCAACCTGCTCCTGTCCTGACCCATCCAGCTCTCTATTACACCAGGGAGAAGGCTCCGGCCAGGAGAATCCCAGGCAACTGTGAGGCCGTTTTCCTGTCCCTGATCCGATTACATCTCTTGGCAGTTTCGCTAGGCAGCGTCTGCTGGCTCCTTGGAAGGCACTGGCCAGCGTGCTCTGCTCAGTGCCTCCATCAAAGCAATTGCTACCAACCTTAACCCTGACTCACATCCCTGTTTTCTTTTTCAGTTACCCCCAAGCAATTTGCCCTTAGTCATCTCCTTTACTGAAGGGAAGCTGATGGTTTCCTGGCAGGCATTGACCTACGTCCTCCTCAGGCACATCAAGTGGCAGCGAGCTGCCTCCAGCCCCACAATTCAAGGTCACGGACCAGGATCACGGGCACGTTCCCACAAATCTCCTCGTCTGTGCAGAGTCTGCCCCCGGGGCCTCCGCAACCATTATAGAGCTGGACTGAGGACAAAGGACCACCCCCGAGCTGGGCAATACGGACTGAAGGATAGCATGGGAGGGTCGGACCCAACCTCCAGTGTCACACAGGCAGAAAGCAGAAGCCAGACAGGAGTGACTGGGTCCAAGCAGGGTTTCCCCTGCTCCTCTCCTCCTTTCAGCCTGCAAGGTCCAGGCAGGTCTGATGCAGAAGCCATGCCCCGCATTCCCTGCTCAATAGCGACCAATGCCCCTTTCCTCCACGCATGTGTCCAACCCTGTGTGAACCTGGCTGCATGTGGGGGCCATGAGCTCCCCCTTTAATCCCAAACCGGGGAAAATGACATCCTGGTGTTTGTTTTACACTGACTGACCACCCCCGCCCATGAGACAGCAAGCAACAGACACTCATTAAACTTCCTCTTCGCCATTTAGCATCTTGCAAGCCTGTCTCCTTCCCCCTCCTCAAGCATCTCCCTCCCAAAACGATCAGACCGGGCCCTGTCGGTCTCTCCTCACCCCCGTCTCCCTTCCCTGCGCCTTCCCCGGCTCCTCCAGACCCCACAGACGGTGCGGGGACTGGGATGGGGGCACCGCATTGGAAGCAGGGACACAACACAGACGTATCGAGGGGCATCGCAACGTTGGCAACCCTCCCAGCACAGTCATGTGAGGGAAGCGTCCCCCTAGCAGACAGGCTCAGGGAGCCGAACTGCCAATGGGACCAGGGGTCAGGCTGGACGTGCCAGGGTGACAGGTACCTTGCCCAAGCCAAAGGCAGCACGCGTCTCAGCGGCATCAGGCAGCTCGGCCACAGGCAGGGCCCGGTCCCAGAGGCGCCGCACGTCCTCCTGCTCCCGCTGCTGCTCGGGGTCGGGGTCAGGGGGTGTCAGCGCGGCGGGGCCGAGCTCGGCGCCGGCCTGGAAGTCCTGCCACGAGCCCTCGGCGTTACTGGCCGGGCAGACGAAGCAGCCCGTGGTCTTGTCGAGGTAGAGAGTGGCAGGCGCGGGCGCGAAGGGGCTCGGGGCGCGCAGGCAGCTGTAGCCCTCCTGGAAGGGGAGGCCGCGCGCGCGCAGGTACTGCCGAATCTCGGCCGCGCCCGCCGGGCCCGACACCGACGAGTCCTCGGC